ATATATATATACACACTGTATATAAAGTGTTCTTAACCCTTTTTATTGTACATACTGTATACTGTAATGTTTTAGTTTTTTTAAGCCTTTTTTACCCTTTTTCTCAGTTCAGCTGCTGCTGCTGTTACCTTGTGACTCATTTTTTGCCAAAGCTCACTCACTAGCCTCTTGCCATTTTGATGCCGGACTATCAGGAGTGCTGGACTATTGGATGCTGGACTATTGGAGTTTTACTGTATATAGGTTCAATAATAATTTTCCAGTTGTGTATAGCATTATGTAGTTTTTGTTGAAACTAAAAGTTCATTTCTCTCACTGAAGAACCTTTTAGAGGAGCTTTGTAGCCAGCCATACATTTTGTCCAAGGAAGGATGAACAACCACTTTTATTTAAACATCTTTTAATTGAACATCTAATTCACAGAAAAGGAAGTACTGTAGTTAATATGTGAGAAATTTTCTTCTCTGCTTAAGTGTACTTTGCCAGCTCAAAGCTTTCTCCAGACAATCAACATAATGCAGCACTGTTTCATTTTCTAAGAGTAATGCAGTTAGCAATTTCCCTTTAAAAGTAAGTGTGTCAGTCAGCTGTCACCATTGCGATATGCCTGATTTCTCTCTTGCAGAGCACAATTCAGTTTTAAGTCCAAATCATCTGCATGGCAATGCAACAGGGCTGCCAGAATGACTCTGTCTCTTTTACTTTTTAATTCTTTCTTCCTATTCAATACATTTTTATTTTATGTTATTGATCAATCTGAAACTGGTATACTTAAACTTAATTTTACTAGTCTTTAGTTAAAATCACTGAAATAATTTATGTAGGTTTTTCTGCTTACACAATTCATTTTTAGTAAATAAGGTACTTTATTTAACTTATGACTTGTCTAAACATGTTGAAAGTACTGAATTTTAAGGCATAACATTCACACTCTGAAAAGGGAACAGTGACAAGTTCAGTCAAAAGGAAAAAAGAGGAATAATTTATAAAAGGAACTGTAGATAATGATGCCAGCCGGTTGTTTTAAAGTGCATCTATCTCAACTTTAATGAATTAGATTTGTCAACAGCATATGTTTTATGCACTACTTCTAATGAAGTGGCATACCAGCAATACTGTGTACTTTGAGGTTTATTCCATCAAAGCTTTTTGCTGTCTTAAAGTAGACCTTTTTAAATAATAGATACTAAAAACTACATTTAAATAACATTAAGGTTGTGACACAAACACCAAATGACAAACTTCTGGCAATTCAAAGTTAAGGATGACAACTTGTCATTAACTCACATTGTTGCTTTTTAAAAAGAAGCACAATAGCATGATTTAAGGACTGAGTGTCAGCTTAACTTTAAATTTCTTGGCTTTTGTTCTCTGGTGTCACAACCTTAATGTCATTTTTCATACAGCTTTTTGCATTTTTATTTCTTTAAAAAAAAACCTGTTTTTGTACCCAAGAGACAGTAATGGGTTCTTCAATAGTTTTGGTCTGCTTGTTAAATGCATATTATGCAGGAGTTTAATTTTTAGGGTTTGTAGTGGTATTAGTGATTTCCAGCTTACATAACAGCTATTGGTTGTGAGTTCATTACATTGCCACAGCTGATCATTCCTGGAGAGCACTCTAAAAGGAATTTCCATTCTTTTATACAAAATAATGAATTTTTAAAACTCTCCATAATTTTTACTCATTTTTTAAAATTACTTGACATGAAAGAGGCAGGAAGCTTCTTTTCACAGAGTTGTATTATAGAATATTCAGTTGATGGATAAGATATATAGAACTTATCTATACCAAGCAGTATTTTTCACTTATGTAGCTCCCACCAGTTAAATCTGATTCCGACTAAGGGTATGTCTACACTACCCCGCTAGTTCGAACTAGGAGGGTAATGTAGGCATACCGCAATTGCAAATGAAGCCCGGGAATGAATTTCCCGGGCTTCCTTTGCATAAGCGGGGTGCCGCCATTTTTAAATCCCCGCTGGTTCGAACCCCGTGCCGCGCGGCTACACGCGGCACAAACTAGGTAGTTCGAACTAGGCTTCTCCTCATTCCACAAGGAGTAATGGTAGTTCGAACTAAGAAGCCTAGTTCGAACTACCTAGTTCGTGCCGCGTGTAGCCGCGCGGCACGGGGTTCGAACGAGCGGGGATTTAAAAATGGCAGCGCCCGGCTTATGCAAATGAAGCCCGGGAAATTCAAATCCCGGGCTTCATTTGCAATTGCGGTATGCCTACATTACCCCGCTAGTTCGAACTAGCGGGGTAGTGTAGACATACCCTAAGTTATTGGTGAGAAGACTTACACCCAATCACACAAACATTTGAAGCATATACAATCAGAAGTGAAGAAACTCAAAATTAAAACTAGCACTTATCTTATGCTATTGGACAGGGATAAATTTAACAATTTATCACTGAGAAATAAGATGTTTCTCTCTTTCTTGCAACATGTTTTAGTAACATTTAAATGTGCTTAAGACTTACTTGTGACTTTTTTTATTCCTAAAATGCTACCAGTAGGTAATCTTATTACTTGTTTGTTTTTACACAGGGCTATTGAAAAATTTCCGGTAATGCTGAGGGAACTCAACATGATCCCTTAAGAAATCTGTTAAAACTGAAGATCGCAAGATGCTGTTACAAAGAAAATCTTTTTAGTGAAGGTACTGTACTTTATACATATGCAGCTCACAAAAAGGATATTTTCCAAGATTGACCTGTTATAAATTATATATGTTTATGAAAGTCTAATGTGATGATTACACATGTATGGCACGAGCTATGATATTCAAAACACAGTTCTCCCACTGACCAGAGGTAAAGGATGAAAGATAACTGTACATCTTAAAAACTCTTTGACATACAGGTCAGATGTTTCTAATCAAAACTATGTGAGATTTTATTATTTAAACTCTTGTTTGGAGAACCATATAACAGTTGCAGACTTTGAATTTCAGGGGTTTTTTAAGTTAAAAGAAAAGTTAAAAGTGAACTTGTTCATGGTGAGCTATTATAGAAATTCATAACTGCTCTGTGGACCAGATGTACTTGACATAATCATAGAGAAATAGGGAGATCTGGACTCTGAATATACTTTGCGTGATTGTGTTGTACAATGTGACTAGGTTAGTGCAATGTAGTTGTTTTGTATGTATCAGCATACTGTATGTTCACTCTTGTCATATGGTACATAGACAGACATAGCAATTATTATTATATTAGTTTATAAATTGTTTATATGCTGAGTGAGTTACCTTAAGGGTAACATTAAAGATTCTTCTACATTAGGAGTCGTCAGTAAGTAGTCCATGATTCAAAACTGGACCACCAGACACTTTTCAGTGGACCGCTTGGGCTGAAGGTGAGCAAAAGCTGGAACCACATGGAGTCATAACTGATCCCCAGTGCAGGACATTCCAGCACAGTGCAAAAGGTTGGGCAATGTGTCCCTGGGTGGCTGCTTGTGCAGTCACAGTCCCACCGGTAGCACAACAAGCTTAAGGGAGCTTAACAGTCTCATTCTCTCTCCATTTCACCTCCAGTCTTCTGCTTCTGCAACATCCTGGCCTCCCCCACTCCCACCTCTCTTGTGGAGTCTCCTGGATCCCTTCCACTATCCAGAACCTTCTTCCTTCCCCTCTGCATCAAAAAGGTTCCCAACAAGGGTCATCACAGTATTAGCTGGATTATATCTAATAGTTTCATCCAGGTTCTAAGATCAAAAGTACTCACATAATCACACTCTGCTTTGCTGCCCAGATCCCAACCCATATCTGTATATTTTCTTTCCTGCCCCATGTCTGCTACTTTGGGGGCATGGAAGGATGTTTAGGTGGCACTTATGGCAACATCAGGTCAGCCCTATGTGCCGTTTTTTCAGTTTAGAGAAATATTGTCAGCCTGCTCTCCAGGCAGGGAGCTGATGGGAGATTGGGATATTTGGGAGGAGACTAGTATTCTATACCTACAATATTTTTCTTTGAGAAAACCAAAGTACTCTTTGTAAACTCAAAACAAATTCAAAACTTAACAGTTGTCTGAAAGTACTTTAATACTACTATTTGCATCTGTTTGAGAAAGAACATAGGTAAAATATCACTCAGATTTATTACATTTTTCTTGGATGTTATTTTTACATTATAGAGGGTTTTGTACTGGCTCATACATTTTAATAGTTAATTTTCATTCCTGCATCATCATATGTCCCATAATGTTCAAGAAGGCTTCTATCTTAGCACTAGACATGATGGAAGTTTGCTTAATATTGTAAGATTCAGAGCTAAGGTGAAGGAGATCATCATAAGGTACCCGTTTGCAGATAATGTAGCCCTTGTAGAGCATCAACACTGAGTTACAACTTCTTATCAAGTTTCCTCTTCATGCAAAATCTTTGAGCTAGCAATAAACTTGAAGATGGTTGTCATGAACCAAACCTCTTCAGAATCCGTTCCAAGTATCACCTTAATGATATTTGTCTGGTTGTTGTTAACCAGTTTTGCTACCTTGCCTCTACCATTACCATCAATGTAGATCTTCATGCAGAACTCACTAGTAGAATCAGCAATGTGAAGAATTTTGATCTTTTGCAAAATAGAGTCATAAAAATAACAAGATGTCAACTAAAGTGAAAATCCATAAATATGAGAGATGTTTTGTCCACTCTTCTATGTGGCTCAAACACAGACAACTTACACCAAACATACCAAAAGACAAAAGAGCTTTCATATCAGATGCTTGAGTAAAATTCTTTGTAAGATGGTAAAAAAGAGTAACAAATGTGGAAGAGTTAATTTGTGCTGGTATGTCATTCATAGGAACATTGATTAATAAGAAAAGATTCAGGTGGCTTGGACCTGAATGTTGGAGAACAGGATCCCTGAGAGTGTGCTGTTTCCTGAAGCCCACTTAGAGTTGTAAAGATAGACCAACTGCTGCACAGATTTTGGGATGCTTGAAAGGATGACTTGGGATTCTCTATGGATGGTTGGGAAAGGAGTTCAGAATGCCACTGTGATTGGTGGAGTCAGTTTGTAGATGGAGTGAGGAACCATTGTGAAGCAAATGGAGTCAAGCTTTGTGATGACCAGTATCAGAGGAGGAAAGAATCTGCTGCTCAGATTCAGTGTGTTGCTGGTGCCTGGGTATGCCCTACCTAGTCACTCATGCATTGGACTCAACAGCCATCAAAGAACTCATCAGTACACATGTCTTGCTTTGTAAAGGGCTACAATGGCATTGATTAACTTGTTATATATCAAATATTGTAAGGGATAATCAAATGCAACAGAAAAGACCGTGACATCACTCCTTGGAAAAATGCATATCTGCACATAATGAATGGCAAGTAATCACATACTATAAAATAGGGACTCAGTAGATTTAATCCATGAAATAATAGGCAAAACAAACACTGTCCTGGAATATTTAAGGACTCATAAAGTGGCTGCAGACCATCTTGAAGGCAGACTAAGAAGAGTTAACTATATAATTAACGGAGTGAACTGTCATGGGAATAGGTAATATATCATGGTTGATGTGCTTTCCTAACAGCTAAAAGGAGACATATTTATTGAATTGGTCATTGACTTAAATAGGTGTTTCCCCTTAGTAAGGGTTGTGTATTTACAGAAGAACTTGGCCCAGTGGTATTTATACAGGATGATTCCTATTTACTCCTGGAGGGGTATAGAACTAGATCCTGGCCATTTGATATGGCCAATATGGTGTATTCAGATTCTACAGGCTGCAAGCATTCATTTAAGAAACAAAATAGTAAATTTCTAATATTCATGGTTGCAAATATCACTTTCAAAATGTGAAAGAAATATTAAGAATTCAGTAATGTATACCTGTATCTACAGCCTGAAACAGTAACTCTGGGAGGTGTGAGCTCCCCTGCTTCCATCCATCTTTTACAATTAATGCTAAGCCTAATGATGACACTGCAAATGCCAGCATTAACTATTTTGTGATTGATCATTTTAACAGATATAACGGAAAAAGAGCTGTGAGCCAAGATTGAAGAATTGGGAAGCTAGTATAGGAGAAAAGGAAGGAAAAGAGAAAGGGAAAACATTTGAAAAGGTAGTGAAGGAAGAGAAACAAAGGGCAGAAATACCAGTATGTGACAGCATTCACTCGTGACTAGTGGCACCTCATCCAGGGGATAGCTCTGGCCAGGCATTGCACCCTTCTCTGGCAGTGTCTGTCCTGTTGTTCTCTCATCGTCTCACTCTGGAACCACAGCTTTCTCTGTGATTCAACCCTCTGCACAGGTCACTCCATTGTTCCCGCTTCCAGGGGGGAATGCAACAAATTTGTTTTATAACAAATCAGGCAATCTATTGTCCCCTGCCTTGTCAGTGTTGCATCCCCAGTGCCCATAGGGAAACCCAAAGCTCTCACAACACTACAGTCAGCAGCCCATGCTTGCACTCAGGACAGCCAACAGAATTGCTGAGCCAGGGGGAAAGGTGTGGGGGAAGGGACCCTGGAAAGGGGTAGGGTAGAAGGGACCAGGGCTAGCCTCCCCCAGCCAGCCCTTCAGCACTGCCCAGCCAGCACTGGGGGTTCTGTCAGCAATTTAAAGGTCCCCAAATGCCTGGTGCTGCTGTGATAGTGGCAGCCAGGAGCCCTGGCCCTTTTTAAATAGCTGTGCCCTGGGGTAGCTGCTTATTTTCCCCTCCTCCACCCGTTGACGGCCTTTCCTGCATTGTCCTCTCTTTCTGCTTTCTCTTGGAGCCTTTCTTGCCTTCTTGGGTTTCCCTCTTTCTGGGTTCACCAGCCTTTCAACTCTGTCTCAAAGAGTGACTGCAACCTATCTTCTTGATGTTCCTTTCTGCTCTTAGCTTCTGGGTTTTATACAGGCACCTCCTATTCCTGTCCAGCCTCATTTCATTAGTCCCTGGCTCTTTCTCCAGGTGAAGCTTGAGGAGTTAATTGACCTATCTGGCCACTTTAATTAACCCTTTCAAGTGTTGTGTGGCATGCCACCACATAGCAGTTGTCCTAAATGTGACTATTTTCTTTTGAATAATGCTGAACATCATAATAGAGTATGAGCAGATAACGTCTTAGAAGTTTAATTACTATATAAAGAGCATAGTCTCCTAAAGATAAATATACCAGGTTATTGGCTATATCTGCTGTGGGAATGTCGCTAGCTGCCCTACTGATGAGGGAGGAGGCAAGATAGGAATTTTTCTCTTTCCATACTGCCAGGTGCAGTTGGGGGTTTTTCACCTTCTTTACAGCAAGTTCAGATGAGTTCTGTTAATGAAGAACATGATGGATGTGGTAGGCAATATGTTGCAATTCATTATTTAAGTGTTCAAGAGATGTTCAATGCAGGTACTCCATAAAACAAGATATACAGTAATGGATAAATGGCTTCGGGAAAGGACTTAGGGCGAAGTGCTCAGTAATTGAGCAAGCTGGAGATAATTGGGGACTCCTATGGCTGGTACAGCATGGAGCCAACCCCCTATCATTATATTCCATCTTACCTTTCCTATGAGGGGGGTAGTTGGTAAGGTCCTGGCAATGGATATGTTAGATGGACCTATATGGAAGGGAGGGGGGAAGTTGGTTGAACCCCCATTCCCACCCCCCAGGGAGTGTAAGGTCCCAGCAATGATCCACGCCACTCCTGGGAGTGGGGAAG